GGGCGCTGCCCCCCCCCCAACCCCCCACTTGCAAACCCCAAAGATGAAGATGGTAACAGATGATAGACTCTGATAGAAACTACTGAAAAATGATAAAGACTATGGAAACCAATGGAGATGATGGAAAAATATCATGAAATGCATGAACAATCGTGAAAATCATTGAGAAATCATTGAAAAAGCATTTACCTGATGAAAAACTTGGCAACTGCTGGTGAAACATGATGGAAAATTATGAGAATCTTGAGGTGACACATGATGGAAAATGATGCAAAGTGGAAAGTTTTAGGTTCAAGTTCTTTTAGGCACCTCTTTAGCCACATATTCCAGCTGGTAAAAACCAAGATTATGGCTTAGGGTTTACGGTTTCGGGTAACAGTGCTTATGCAGGTCTCCACATGAGTGGATCACGTCGCAGCTGCTGCCACAACCATGGCTGCGCTCATGCCCTTTACTCTTGCTGTTTCAACGCTAAACCCCTAAACCTGAAGCCCTGACCTATCCAGGATGATGCACGGATGCTTTTTTCAAGTTCTCAAATACTCCGTCCGTACCCATAGAGCCACGTATGCCATAATCAGTCAATATACTGTTAACTGCATTAGGCCCCAAGAGGATTTAAAGAACATTCTTCAAGTGAGGGGCCCTACAGACCCTGAAAAAATGTCCCTGCTTTCGGAACCTCGGCAGCATAAGCAACCTATTCTCAGGGCCTTCTCGGCAGAGATGACCGGAGCGTAGGAGGTCAACATGAAGTGGATTCCTGGTCTGTAAGCCCTAAACCCTAAACCGCGAGAGAGCTCAATCTCTGAGGATAAGCCAGGAAGCCGGAAGCCAAGAAGCCGAGAAACCAAGAAGCCGGGAAGCCGAGAAGCCAAAAAAAAATACCAAACAAAAAACACAAAAAGCTAAATAAATACTCTTCCAGAACCAAGCCCCAAACCTTAAACCCTAAACACTAGATCCTAAACTCCAATAAAATTATGTGTTTCGATAATTTCTTCGGGTTAGGCTATGAGACAAGACCTAGATTCGAGGATATGGCACCAGGTTCGTTTGGAACTCCGTGATGTCCACGTTCCTGAGCTGGACGATGGAGGCTTGTAGGTTGGCACCATCGGCCGGTTTAGGATTTAAGGCTTAGTGTTTTGGACTTGGGGTTTAGGATTCAGGGCTTAGGGGCATAGGTCTGAGCACCTGCATAGACCTTAGGGCTTCGGATTCGGATGGGGCGCAGGCACAAAGAAAATCAAACATCCTCCTGGTCTTTCCCAGGTTCAGGGCGCCATCGAACCGCAGGGATGCCGTGAGACTGGAGATAATCTGGGCAATGAGGCGGTTCAGGTTCGTGTAGGTGGGGCGCTCGATGTCCAGGTTCCTGCAGGGCTGCGTCAACGCACAGGCTCAGTGAGCTTACTGGCGGCTAATGAAGGAATGGATCCTACAGTAGTGGTTCCGGGGTCCCTACTTTATACTATTCCGACTTTCTAGGCTTTAGAACCTGACAACCCGAGCAGGTAAGAGTTCAACAAGCATCTCGCAGAAACTTGTTTCAGATGGATCGCTTTAGGGTAGATGGTGGGGGACCACCATTGCCGCTGCTCTCATGTAAACTTACCAAAGCCAGTGGTGGCCTTCCATCTAATATAGCATGCTAAAGCACCGTCTTGAGTATTACATTCGCTTTGTGCCATGTCCCACTACCTGGCGTCCAAAGTACCCAAAAACCCTAAACCCTGACCAGCCCCCCCCCCCCCAAATACTACCAAATACTACCCCCGCAAATGAGGGGGGATTCGCGGGGAGGTAGTTTAGGGTTCTGGGTTCCAGAGTCTACGGTCTAGGGAACACGGAAGATGTCCGCTCTCATTCCACAGTCTTGCTTGTGTGTTTTAGGTTTTGGGGCTAGCGGTCTGTGGAGGAGACATTATACGATATGTATATATATATATATATCGGGGTATAGCTGTGCATGTAGATGCGAGAGAGGTGTGCTATCTGTCGGGGTATACAGGGATTCATAGTCTCTAGGGGTTGCAAAAATCAGGGGTCCCTTTGCCCGTTTTTCAGGGTTCCTATAATCAGGATTACATAGTCTACCGGGATCTATATTGGCCATTCATAAAAACTATCAGCGCGAATTGAAATTCAAAGCGAAGGATCTTGCTTCTAGTTGAAGACCCTGGTCAAAGCTCCTGCGGCAAATGTCATACAACGCCTCATTGTCGTACCTTGGCTGCTTTTGTGCTTTAGGCTTCTTCAGGACTTCCTTCGCACGAAGTGACATTTTTGATGAAGAAAATTGTGCGCCACCTAGGTCCCACAAGCACCCTTAATTCTCAGGACTTGTGAAGCACTTGAGGTCTTGCAAGATTGCTTCCATCATCAGCCTATACTATAACCTAAACCCTACACCCACCCTAAACTAATCCTAAACCCTAAACCCTCCATATCCCTCTAACCCCTCTAAAGAGACCTACGAAGGATCCAGGTACATGATGGTCACATCTGTGTGCTCCAGCAGGGAATGCACGCACAAAACCTGAATTGCTGAGTTTTCTGAGGGCAGTTGAGGCTTTAGGGCTGAGAGTTGCACCCTGAACCCTAAACCCTTATAGTCCCCCTTGAGTAGATAGAATATTGTTTTGGCTATATTATAAAAGGATCCCCATATAACCCATATTCTATCTACTTAAGGGGGGCTATAACCCCTAAGGATGTATATTGAAGTCTAGGGCTCGGAGTTTAGGGCCTAGGGTCTAGGCCTCAGGTATAGAGATTAGGCTCGGGGCTCAGGTTCAGTATAGAAGTGGAGGGTTTAGGGTCCAGGTTTGGAGTCTTGGTTTCAATTAGGGTTTAGGGTTCAGGGCTGAGAGCTTGGGATCATAAGGATGCTGCTGAGTATCAGTAAGGATTACTTGAAGGAATACCCACTTCAGGAATGCACAACATGCTGCTCCTCACCAAGAATAACAACCCCACCCATGCTCCAACTTCCCTTTGAGGGGTTATAAGGATTATGAAAGAGTGGTCGTAGGGTTTAGAGAGTTTAGGGCCCCTTAGCAGTAGCAATCCCCTCGGCTCGTTTTGAATTTCCCCGACCTTCCAACAAAGTGATCGAATCATGCCAAGAGACAGTGTTGTATGGCTCGACAACAGCTGTGGCAACCTGTCCATCAACACGGTTGGGTTCAGAGCATAAACCCTAACCCCTCAACCCCTAAGCCCCAAAACCCTTAACCCTAGAATATAAACCCTGCAGCCCAAACCCCAAGGCTTAGTGTCTGGTGCTGAATCACTGGTCCACATGTTCATCATCTAGGCATAAGCCCCAAGGGGTCTCCTGGCTCGGTGTAGTTGGCCCGAAAAGACGAGTAGATACCATTGTTCATATATAAATATATGTATATATATTGGAGTGGGTTATATTGGGGTAATATTGGGCCTATAGGGGTGTGCAAACAGATGTTAACTTTCTTGCCTAACCCGCTTATCCTACTTCCGAAATCTGAACACCAACGCCCTCACCCTCAAATCTAGCTCGTAACCTTACCTTACCACATTCTGTTGTGCACCATGTTACGTCGGCACCACGCAACTGCACTAATCCTCATCCCAAACACAAGTGGCAGTTTCCAGAAATGGGGTGGGTGTCCCTCTTGTGGTCTCTATAATAATTCAAATATTTTCGGGTTTACGTTGGAATTCGCTCTTTTCTGGAAACTACCCAATCGATTTTCGAACATGACCCACCTGGGGGCAGCACCACACCGTAAAGGAGATCTTGCTCTTCTTACCTCAGCATTGGGCCATAAAGTCTATGAATGATGCCTACTTCGGCTATTTGAATCCCTAGGCATTGTTTTGTTGTGGCAGCGGACAGGTTTCCGATGAGCGAGAGAGAAAGTGATAAAGTCTAAATGAGCCTAGTCTACACTTCTAAAAGGGGGTTATATAGGGGATTATATATGGGACTACTATAGGAGGGGTTATTAAGGGGGATACTAGGAGTTTAGACACTGGCTCATATGCGGGCTCTGAAGACTCCTGACATCTCTTGTTGTTTGTTGGCCTTTGGTTGGTCTTCGGCTTTATCTAGAAAACCGCATACAGTGCAAACAACGTAGACTGCTGACGTTTGCCACTTTCCAGTAAACTGAGGTGGAGTGTACTGATCCAAGGTCCAAAGCATGAGCCGCGTATACCTAACGTACTAAACTGCCTGTATGTATCATGCATATACTCTCAAAAGCCCCTACAATATCTGGCTATGGCTATGTTTTACTAATCCGAAAACTTGAATTTAAGCCACTGCATTATTGTCTATGCAAACTAGCTGGTTGGGGTCGAGTAAGGTTGCCAAAACATGCTAAGAATGCCCCCGAAAACGAACTGAGTATCAATGGATTTAACCTCAGTGTGAGTCATTTTGCGCTGTGTGGGCCTTTGCATATCATGTAGGAGCCTGAACAATAACCAATGTTGTCCCTTTTCTGTCCCTGACCATGTGAATATAATATGATGGACCCACAAACGCTCTTCCAATCATCCAGCCCGCTGCAATAGGCGCTTAAGCCTGAAGGGCGGCTAGGCTCCCCAAATCCTCAACCGTAGACCTTTGGGTACTGCCCCCACCCAGTAACAGTATATATTAGGGGTCCTATTAAGGGCTATATATAACCATATTATAAATATTATCCAACTGTTACTGAGGGGGGGCAGTACCCAATGTAAACCAATTTGGGGCTTAGGGTTTAGGGTAGGCAGGACTTCTGGGGCTGTATCCTCCTCATCCACACGCTACGGAAGAGGATTTTGGTGACGACAGGAAGAATAAAGGGATTATACTCGGGTGGTAAAGTATTTCTACCAGGAGTACTCTACTACTATGCCTGATTACTATTGTTACTAGTACCAGTATTGCTAGGCTTACTATAACAACCACACTATGAGTCTTATTATTGCTCCTTTTACTACTGTGTTTACTTCTTCTGTGGCGCAAAACGAGATGGGGAACCATAGTCTAAACTCAGTATCCTCCTTACTAACCCTTATAGTAGTCCCCTACATAATCCCCTATATAACCCCCCTTTAGGGAGTTTAGAATATGGCTCATATGATCAAAACAAGCCACTTGGAGGTTACGGTATGAAGGTTTAGGGTTTAGGGCAGGGTTTAGGAGCCCAGGGTTTAGGGTTTAGGTCTCAGGGTTCAGGGTTTAGGGTAGGATTTGGGGTTTGGGGTTGCCTAAGCATTGGGCCATACCCTTAACTGTCCCAAGTTCAAGGCACTGCCGGAAGTCTCGAGACACGGAGACGCGCAAGCAAGGGATAGGCACTAAAGCTTCTGAACCCTAACCTCTAAGCCATGAGACATGTAAATTCACAGAAGACTCCTTGACTGCAATCCCCCTCAGAGTATTATCAAAATACTATTGATAACAGTTCGTTAGGGTTGTAATATTCTCGGGTAGGTTAGGGATCCCCACCAAACATTGAATGTGTATGGACCTATACAAATTGTCAGGGGAATTAAAGGTGGCAAAAATAAAACAGTTTCAGATCTAGCCACACAATTCACAAGCAGCCAACAGTTGTGTGACGTTCAGACCCCAGTAGTCTTGGGTTTAGGGTTTAGGGTGTAGGGCCAACGTGTAGCTTTCGGGCTCTCTGGGCAATCCCGGAACCCTAAACTCTACAACCTAAACCCGAGACTATAAGCCTCTGTCCTTCAACCTTGCCCCTAAGCCCTTATCCCTAAACCCCTAACCCTGAACAAAAACCCTGAACCGCAGTCCTGAAACTCTTCTCAAGTCTTAACCCTCAACCCCAAACCCTAGACCCCAGATCCTAAACCCTAGACTGTAAACCCTAAACCCTTGAACCCAAACCCCTTCACAAAAATCAGGCGAGGGTACCGTAGTCCACGGAGAGGCGCTCCAACATCAAACAGCCCAGGCCAGATCCGGTGCCTCCGCCGCAGGCCTTGTTTGGGTTCAGGGGTTAGGGCTTAGGGTTTAGGGCTTAGGGTTTAGGGTTTAGGGCTTAGGGTTTAGGGTTTAGGGAGTTTCGTTTTGTTGGGGGGATCAGGTGAACAGATTTAGGGATTCGGGCTTAGGATTTAGGATTCGGGGTCAGGGTTTAGGGACTAGGGCTTAGGAGTTAGGGATGAGAGGGTTTTCAGGGTCTTGGGGTCTAGGGATGAGAGGGATAAGGGTTTAGAGTTTCGCATTTAAGGATCAGGGCTTGGGGCTCAGGAATCCGGGTTTAAGGACAAGGGTTTAAGGTTCAGGGTTTATCGTTTCCGGTTTATGGATTAAAGTCTAGACTTTGCAGCTTAGAGCTTAGGAGCTTGAGGGCCTTTGTGGTGGAGAGATATGGGGCCTCTAAGGGTGGATGGAGAGAACGGAGGCAACTTTGCATGATTCTCCATTATGGCAAGCTCTTCTCCCTCAACATGAAGGCGGTCCCCACCAGATACACTGGACCCTAAACTCCTTAACCCTAGACCCTAGACGCTAAACCCTAACCCCTAGACCCCACACCCCATTAACGTAGATGTTGAATGTGGGGTTGGCACCTTGTGGTGCTTGGGGGACATGAAGGAATGCAAGGGAAAACGGAAAATGGAAACTACTATTCAGAGTCTAGCTTTTAGGGTTTACTGGGGCGTGCGGTATGAAGGAATGAAAACAAAATAAAAACTACTGTTTGAAACTACTGTTTAAGGTTTGGAAACTGCCGTTTAAAGTTTTTAGGGTCCAGGGTGTTGAGGGTAAACTTGCTTGTTATGGCTTCAGGCGTAGAGTCTAGAGCAAAAGTTGCTTGACGGCTCGGGCTTGCCGTGGCAGGGTCTAGGCCCAGTATAGGTAAGAAGTAGCCTGAGCTTTCGAGATTTTGAGGTTTGGGAGCTTCAACCCTAGTGGAACCTGAAAATTGCAAATCTTGTTCCGTTACAACCCCTCTATACGAATAACTCAAACAGGATGTGCTCCAGAACCCCATTCTACATTTTTTTTGCTTCTACAGTAAGCCTTGATCACACAACCCAAACCTCCACAAGGCCTCAACAATGTAGGCTCCTGGGAAATGTAACCCTAAAACCCGACTACAAAACATGAACCATAGACATCCTGCAATACCAGAACGGAACTTGTGGGGTTCCCACTGCCTGCACGCCACTGGTGTTTTGGTCATCTTTGTCTATCCTTCGAATCACTACAAGTAGCCAGTTTCTCCTTCCTTGGGCCCATATGCTTGGTGGAGTTAAACCCTGAACCCTAAGCCCTAAAACCAAAACCATAAGCCCTAGGCCCTAAACCCCAAGCCCTAAACCCTAAACCCTAAGCCCTAAACCCTCAGCCCTAAATCCCAGATAGTGATGGTTAGCAAACCCAGGAAGCATAAATTGCAAGGACTTGGCACGATGGTCCTTTCGTGCTCGGGGAGGGCTCTCAAAATCAGGTCCCGTCCATGCCCTCATCCATTTCAAGACCCCGAAAAGTGACCCACAATTTCCGAAATCCTCCCAGGACTGCAAAAACACACTTACACCCTAAGCCTGGATCAACGTAGAACTTTATAACCCCATTTTTGAGGGACCCACAACTCTGCAACACACCCTAAACCCTAAACCCCACACCTTAAACCCTAAATCCCAAACCCTAAACCCTAAACCCTAAACCCTTAAGCCCTAACACCCTGAACCCCAAAACATTCGACCAGCAACATTGTAGACGCAAAAGCCCTGCAAGCCGGTACCTTGGACCAGGCCCCTGGTGCTTAGGAGGGAAAGGGGGAATGGATCCCTGTAGTAGCCCCTACATAATCCCTAAACCCTAAACCCTAAACCCTAAACCAACAATAGTCCCCATAATCCATTCCCCCATTCTCTCCTAAGTACCTGGGACCAGACCATGCAGAATGCTCAGCCACAGGAGCTTCAGGGTTTAGGGGTTGGAGCGTGCTGTTTAGGGTTTAGGGTTTGGGGTTGGGGGTTTGGGGCTTACTTTTTAAGGTTTAGGGTTTGGGGTTGGGGGTTTGGGGCTTACTGTTTAAGGTTTAGGGTTTGGGGTTGGGGGTTTGGGGCTTACTGTTTAGGGTTTAGGGTTTGGGGTTTAGGGCTTAGGGCTTACGTTTAGGGTTCGGGGCTAGGGTTTGGGGTGTAGGCGCAATACAAGACCTGACAAGTCTGATGTAATTCATCAAGGAGGGTCTCATCGTACGTTGCCCCTTACAAGCCCGAACCACCTTTCTGCCTTGAGCGAATCCCTCCCAACATGAGCAGCATGCCACACATGAACCCCATGACCTAGTCTCGAAACCCTCGACCCCAAGCCCTTCACCACGAGGCCTAAACCCAAAGCTCTAAACCCTAAACCCGAGTCCGAATGCAAAACGTGCAAACAAAAGCACAATTGTCAGCAAGCTTTCGGATGCGGTCGAGAACCTGGGGCTTCATAAAGATGCTTCAGGCTCAGAATTGGGCTTTCGGGGTTTACAGTTCAGGAAAGCACGGGGATTTAGAGTTTTCTGGGGTTGTGCAGGAAGATTTAGCGAATACGTTTTACTCTACGTTACAAGCGAGGTAGCAGTCCGAAAAGTTGTCATTGCAAGCCTCGCGGACAGTATATGAGAAATGTGAGAAAAAAAACCTGGATCCTCCATTTGAAAACCCATCTTGCTTGAGCAGGAAGCGCCTCGAGAATAATGAAATGCTACTGTAGGCTGGCAGAGTAAAGTCTGCCCACAATATCATTAAACTAGTAACCCCGAAACCTAAACCCTAAAGCCTAAAGCCTAAACCCTAAAGCTTGAATTTCCTCGTACCCTGCTGAAGTCGTAGAAAGCCCCATGGAGCCTTTGAACAACTTTGCAGTTCTGATGACTTGGGGACAGGAAACCCACTCCTCCGCTTAGGGCTTAGTATGCAAGGTTTAGGGATTAGGGGGTTTAGGGTTTAGGGTAGAAGAGGAAGATATAAGCATCCATATGTAATCAATTTTATCCGCTGTGGTCACCATTACAGGCGGGGGGCGAAGTCAACCAAGGCCTTTCAAATGACCCACAGATGGCACAAGTCCTACATCTCCGCAAAGAAAGGAACCCCAAGCCCGAAATCAAAAACGAATAGGTCTCGGGGTTCAGGGTCAAGGGTTTGGGGTTTAAAGTTTATTATTTGGGGTTTGGGTCGGGGCCTACTTACGATACTGGAAAATCATACGAGCTATAGTTCAAACTCCAAGTATCCCCCTTACTAACCCCTATATGCTCCCCTGTACAATCCCCTACATAACCTCTTTTAAGGAGTTTCGACTATGGCTCATATGTGCTATAGTCTAAACTCCTAGCATCCCCCTTAATAACCCCTATAATAGTACCCTATAGAACCCCTTATATATCCCCTTTTAAGGAGTTTAGAATATGGCTCATATTGCCAAGAAGACAAAATCATGGACATTTGGCTTATGCAGAAGATCAGAACAGGGTTTGGAAAATCATGCTGTAGTTTTGTAAGGATTATAGAGAAAATATTGGTAATTTTTCCGACTCTTACATCTAAAAACTTGAATTCCACTATAGAACCCCAGCTTCCATGTCATGTTGAATCGCCTCTTTGATTTGGTTTTCCATGTTTGCGTAATTATTCAAGGTTCTACAACCCTCAAACAATACCTACCCCGTTATTTATACCCTACAAAGCCCGTCGAACCCTAAGAAACTCTCTAATTTAAACGTACCCTAAACCCTAAACCCANNTAAGCCCTAAACCCTAAATCGAATTTCAATACCCAAGGGGCCAAGTCCACAATCTCTTTTCCGATCGTGTAGTGGCCACGAGCGAAATTGTTTCTGAAGCAGCACAATCCGGTTTGCACACGGTTTAGGGCTTAGGGTT